GTAAAGTCATTATTTCAACACGCTCGTACTCAGTTTATCACTTTTCTGTTGAGTTATGCGCAAATTATAGTTTGGAGGGAATGGTTTTTTAAGGTTAAAAATGATAATGATATCCCGCTTGCTCTTTTAAGCCATGATTTTTCTCTAATACTACATAAAGCCTTAATGCCAAAAAGTATAGGTAAATTATTCATTTTTATTATATTTGCATATTACGTTTGAGAGTAGAAAATTGAACTTAGTTGCGAATAATAGGTTCCAGGGAGCTAAATTTGCGTGTCAAAAGGATTCTAGCGAAACAAGAGATCATTCAAGCTTGAGGGTGCACTTTGTTTTTATGTGGTCACTGTCTGCCTTTACACTTCCAGCAAAGGTCTGCTGATTAGACCTGCTCTACAGCTTGCTAAATATTATGACAACATAATCACTCTAACAATGTAGGTCTCAGAATTTGTCGTGGGAGTCAGGCGAAGTAATGCATTAAAGGCAGATACAGTGAGCTGAAAACTGGCTGTTTGGTGTTTTCGTTGAAACAACAGAAAGAAGAGCTTCAAAGATTGAGTCAAAAAGGTTTTACAGAAATTGCTACTAGCAACTGGTTTTGGACTAGTGTTGTGTTTAATATTTGAGTGAATCACATTCTCAGTGGATATTTTGTTCACAGTACTTATTACATTGATATTACTGTAACTATTGTTGTGTAAGAGTTGCTTTAGGGTTGTTTTGAATAAGAAATTTTAACTTAATATTTGTTGTAAAATTGAAATATTTTTCAAGACCTATTTTAATGAGTTTCATAAACATTTTTACGTGACTGTTCGTACAACTAAATTATACTACTGTGCAGTTGTGACGTAAACGGATAGATTCATATGTTCATTTGCTAATTTCTAGTGCTATAAGATTAAAGTATGAGTAGTTGTAGTGACTGCCCTGCGAGTGACATAGGAGAGAGCTGAATTCTTCTAGTGTTAGTTGTAAAAGCGAACGGGTCTTGCAGTTTTTGCATACTTCATCTTAAATCACTAAAATTAATTTGTTGCTCAATTCATAGCTAGCTATTGTATACTCTTCTGTTCTTAACTTATTCTTTCTATAACTTCTTGGTAAAAAAATCTTAAATACTCCTTTTTTCTTGGACTTAAAAACATGTTTCAGCATGTATTATTTCGCATTATACTTGTATTATAAAGTACCAAATTTGTTATAACTTTTTTACTCCATTTTTCAAAAGTCTCAGAGTTTTTCTGAGGATATAGTCTTTTATTTTTCTTTAAAATTTGGGCTGTCCGGTTTATCGTATTTAGTTGAAAGAAATTTACATCTGTTTAGTGCAGCCGTGCGGGATGTTTTTGATCTAATAGTGTCGTTCATTTCAATGTTTTGAGACTGGTAATAAGAACGCTGTGGTCTAAATGTTTTTTCTAGTCATGTTTTTCAAGCTTATTTTCCCATAAATTCGTAATCTTCAGCTGCTTGCTGAGAAACTTGACGGAGTAGCTATGGGGTCGTTGTTCAGAAGTGAGCAAATGGGACTCTATCAACTTCTGGTACAAAAGGATGCAGCTTATGCTTGCGTCGCAGAACTTGGCAAGCTTGACTGTGTGCAGTTTAAAGATGTCTGTTGTCACATAATTTTAAAAAACCTGTTAAATTACAAACCAAAGTTTTTGTAGTTGTTGATCTTAATGGAATTGATTTTTACAGATTGCTCAGTTCTCTAAAATTTGCAAATTTATATTTTTTAGTTAAACGAAGGTATGTGTAAGTTTCAAAGACGGTTTGCAAACGAAATAATACGATGCGAAGAAATGGGAAGAAGCTTAGGTAAAACTTATGTTCACCTAATGTTTTTAATATTTTATTTCGGTCCTTAGTTAGTTAAAGATATTAGACAACTTGTATATCCAGTTTCTGACTAGTTTTTCAAAAAAATTGCATTTTGAGGATATCTAGAAGATCGCATAATGGAGAACAGTGCAGACGTAGAGATTACTGACATGGATGAGACGAATTTTGAAGTTGCGGATGAACGAGGATTGGTAACTCTCGAGGTTTACGTCGTTTTTTTTTTCTTTGTTAATTATTTGCTACTACTATTTTTCTGACACTTATAATTGCATAAATTTTTGAAGCCCTAGCTAATTCTGAAAAAAATCTTATATAATGTGTTGCGTTTCAAGAAGTTTTTGACTTTTAGGCAAAAATTTCTGAATTTGAGAGAGAAACCCGACATCATTTCAGAAGCGACATTAAAATGCGAAAAAGCTATTATGAACACATTGAATTTCTGCATGTCTTGCAGAAAACTGAAGAATTTTTTGACGTGGTAATCATTTTCATTTTTTCTACTTTTACTCTTGAGATTTGGAAGTAGAAGCATCATTTGAAATTGTTTCATCTTTGAAAAATTCTGTTTTGATACGCCTTGCCTATTTAAGCATATGGACGACCAGGCTATGACAGAGTTGGAAACGGCAGAAGCTGAAGCTTTGGTAAGTTTTACTGCACTTCTAGAACATTATTAATCATTACCGTACCTTCAAAATTATTTATTATGCTTTATGCACCTTTAGGATGAATCAGCAAAATTAGCTCACGATGACGATGGAAAATGGTAGGTTAAATATTCCGAAAGCTACACGTCATTTCATATTTTCCAAATTTTTAACTTGAGGTAACGTTATAATATCTTCTTGACTTTCTTCATTTGTTTTGTAATTTTTATTGCATGCTTAAACTGTTTAGGTTTGTTACGGGCATACTAGCGTGGGAAAAAAGGCTAGTTTTTGAACGGGTAATATGGAGAGCCTGTCACAGAGCTGCTTTTGTACGTCACGCTGCGATTGACGAACTTTTGGAAGACCCTATAACGGTTGAGTTTAGAATAGTTAAGTCTTCTGTTGAGATAACTCATTGGTAGCATAAAATTACATGCTCCTCTGCGTTTTTTTTTTTTTTTTTTTTTTTTTTTTTTTTTT